TAGTGCCAAGCTTACAGCCAAACATATTTTCAGGGGGTAATCAGGCAACAACAAGTCTACTGAAAGGCAGCAGTGCTTGGAAGCGCTGATGGAAATCTAAGGAACTGACACGTTTTGCTGCCATTTCACAATGTACAGTAATAGAGATTAACATCCTTTTGATCTCAGACACATACTGTATTTGAGGCTTTTAACTCTTTTTTTTTTTTGGTGCAGGTAAGCTTTTCAGTTCTTGTGTGAAATAAATACAAGTCACTTCAGCTGAAAGATTTTTGTCTATTTAAAAAAAAATCGAAGCTAGATAATAAATTTAGCTTATTTCACTTAGCTAAACTTCAGGGAACACTAGTGGCGGTATCAACCTTTAATGCTGCCAAATGGCAACATACATGTGTAGTGCAAAATTGCACATGTGAGGGTCTGATGCCAAAATTGCATTTTAGGGTGAAATCTTTGATTAAAAAAAAAAAGCTTATGGGCTATTGGGATGCCACCAGAATAGAAGTGACAGGTTGTGTAATGTCAAAATCCAAGTGTGCATACTCATTTTGGGCTGGTGTGGTCGAGTCTGTGCACAGGGCACTGGGGACATCCTTGGTTGGACCGTCTACTTGTAAGTCCTTATTCAGGATGTTGTCAGGGGCTTTGACTGGGCCACACTGGCTCTGTGATCCATCGACATTAGAGGAGGGTGGGCTGACTGGCTCTGATACAGGCAGCGTTGGGCTGGATAAGGGGGGGACATTAGGGGTGTCGCTCAGGTCGACCAGGGGCCCGACATCAGGCTGGGTGTTAGCTTTTAACAAACTGGCCTGGGCAACAGGGCTGTTTTGGGGGGAGGAGCTGGCAGAGGCCACTTTGGTTATTGTGGTGGCTTCGCTAGTAGGGCTGCTTTGTGCTGTGCTCAAGCTCTCATTAACTGAGTTAGTGGCAGTGGAGGGGAACAAGTTTACCACTGTGGAGGTGGTGTTTGCAGCAGCAGGCCTGTTTGGTGAGGAGGAGCAAGACAAACAAGTGAGGAGAGGGAGGGGAGGGGAGGGGAGTGGACACAAGAGTGGAAACGAGAGATCCACGAGAAAAGTGGAGGACAAAGAGACAAATAAAGGGGTAGAGAGAGAGTGTAGATCAGGGCAAAAACAAGGCAGAGTGAGTACTACTGTGCTCGAGTGAAAAAGTAAAATCTGTACAATCAAAATGTTAGCCACAAAATAGCTGTGAAAGGATAAACAACAACAACAACAACAAAAAATACCAACAATAAACTACAGAAAGGGTGAAGGAGTTTTAGGATTAGAATGCTAATATGCCTTCTACAGTGAAGCAAAGACCCAGGAGAAGGCAGTATTTGTTGGTCTGAATTGGTAAAGTATGGAAATCATAGAACCATAACAATAGTGGCTATTTTAAAATGTGTTAGTTTTAGGATTCTCAGCCTTAAACTGCATATTTCAAAATGAATGAAAAGTGTTAATTTGTTTCTTTGTTTATGCACAGAGTTGGGTAAAAACAGTTTTGCAACATCAAATTAAACTCTGTGTGTGCTAGGGATTTCATGAGCCAAAATACTGTTGAGTTTGTTGAATGTTGTAGTATTAACGTGTGACTAACAGTCTTGCGGTGTAATAACAGTTCTGTGTGCCATACATAGAGATTGTGAGTAAAGGAGCATTACACCATGGAACCCAAAGAGTTTACAACAGAACTGCATCTCACTATTTGAATATTTGGGCATGACTAAGATTATATATGTAAAAAATATTTTTGCTGAGAATATCCCAGTGATTTGATGAATCTGTTTATCAAGACTCTATGCATTCTGCAACATGTCCTGGGCTGTGGTAGTGGCGTCATTCTGTACTTACTCAGGTTCTGTCAAAGGTGTGGTCTCATTGGGCTCAGTGGGACCTCCTCCCTCTTGGTTTGTGGTGTGTTCTTCCTCTGTTCTCACCTCAACAATGGGCTCCTTAGACTCATCTTTCCTGTTTTGACATCAAACAGTTAGAAAGCTAATACACAAATTATCTATTGTTTATTTTAGATATTAAAATACTGACAGATCATAGTCAAGCATAGAACATTACTTTCAGTCAGACAAATTATCCAAGTGCACACAATTGTCACTATTTACTTCTGTAACACATGTCCACCCCACAACATCAAAATCTAGTTAAACATGCAGATGATCAGCAGAAGTGTAAAACTATGTTCTGTAGTCAGTGGGCTAAACCATGCACACATGGGTAGTTTTTTTAAGCTGTCAAACACACATTCTTATTCTCTCATATCAACATCTGAACAAATTCCACCTGTATCCACCTGCAAGCTTAGTGTGTTTGTTATCATGACATTTCTCTCTGATTACGCTGAGCTTTAAAGTGTTTGCCTTCTGGAGATGACGTGTCTAGATGTAAGGTAAAATATTATCTCTGTACATAGCATGATTCACTCTCAACATGGCAGCTGTTTAGTTTAAATACCTATTTGTTGCATTGTGATGTTCACAGCTGGTATGATGACAGGAACGGCAAGAAGATAGTATATTTTAACACTGCAAATTCAGTAGCTGAAGTTAGTCTGCAAAACCTGCTAACATATTTCATGTCCACAAGTGAATCACTAACTTTGTGTGTTGTTTGGTGCGAGGCAGTGGGTTTATCAGCTCCATATAGCTGTGAGAGACAGAGTAGATAATAACTCTCTCTGGGTCAAAATTTTGTCACTCCATATTAGATCCACTGTCAATACAGAATATTGACAAGTGCAGCTTTACAGAATATATCACAAATACTGACTCATAAACACAAGATGTTCACTTACGTGAATGCTGCCTTGCCCTCCTCAATGTCCTTGCCCTTGGCACCTGGGCCCGTCTTCCCACAGAAGTTAACAGCAATGCACATGAGGAGTCCACACTTGTTGAGGAAGTAACAGGTGACGTCTACGCCCACCAACAGCAGGAAAAAGACAACAATGAGGATGCCTACGATGGCTCCGGTGCCAAGGCCTGAGCCACTGTCCACGGCTTGAAGGGCAAGGAGAGGGAGAGGGGATACACAAGTAAAACAGGCAGGAAAGAGAGGCAAGAAGAAGAGTTAGGAGACAGAAATGGGGTTTAACATCAAGGAGAGGGGACAGAAAGAAAGTTAGAAAGAGAGAGGGAGAGATATGATGAGGACTGTGGTCAAACAGCTTCAGGTTTCAGATGCCATAACCTTATGTTTGTCATTATTTTCAGAGGAATTTGAAGGGAAACCATGCAAGAGCCACAAGAGAACTAATACACTGAAATACAATAAACCCCCTCTGTTTTCATTACAGCAATTTGATATTTACTCTTTCAATTTCAGAACAGGTTGTGATGTGTTTTGAGACAGTAATAACTTCACTATTAATATTTCTGATGTGAAAAACATGGATATAGATGTCTGTTAATATATCCAATAGTTGTCAAGATGTTTCGAACTATATGAAATTTGAGGGAAAAAAAATGAAACTAATAAATGTCAGCCAAATTTCGAGCTCTGTGACCTGCAAGTGTAATTTAGCCAAGAAAAGAAGAAAACACCCTCAGGGTATCTTAACTTGGATAGTAATAATAATAATAATAATACCCTGACAAATATGATGGAATTCAGCAGTTTTTTTTTTTATCTCTCATTGCCATTATACTGGCACACAAGGAAGGTCCCATGAAGGGATAATATCAAGCTTAAACCAGAAGCAGCTTTGGTTTAAAATGCCCTTCCATCATCAACATGTAATGTCACAAATTTGTTCATGTACAATCTAATATTGCCACATTTTACCTTCAATTATTATAACATTTACTGCACAACATTACCATGTTTAATTATCTCAACCCAATGCTTGTTTGTTGTCAACAAACTCACAAAATGTTTGTTTTTTTCTGAAGTTGTTTTCTTATTTAAATACATTAGCCAACAGATTATGGCCACAATAGACAATATTTTCATAACCCAATGAAACATGACAAATATGATTAGTCAGGCTCCACTTACAAGGCAGTAAAGACAATGGCTATAACTTGCAAATGTCTGTGAGGCAACAAGGGCTCATCATACTGTTTGAGGAAAATGTGCAAGTCTATGTAAAACTAATTACATTCACATCCCCTATTGTGTGAATACAGAACATGAAACAGCTATGCTTTGCAGTTCTGTGCCTCCGGATCTCTATGGATCATGGACTCACTATACCCAGCTTAATATTTTAAAAGCTTAGAATAAAAAGGAACAAAAAAAAAAACATTCTTAAGAAAAAAAAAATTAAATTATATGTTTATTATTGGGGATATAGTTAAAGGTGTTGTTGTACCTGACTACATTATATTAAGAGATGTTTCTATATTTGTGTCCTCCCCAGCTACATACATGAGGGTCAGAATATTAGGAACACCTCTGAATATAATGTAGTCCAGTACAGCAACACTTAACTATGACCTCAAAAATAAAAACATAACTACATTTATAATGATTTCACCAAAACAAAAACATTCTGGGCTTCATAAACACAGATGTTAAGGCAGAAGTGTTGCTTTGAAGTGCATACAATTATACAGGTGTCCCTAATAAAGTGGCCAGTGAGTGTATTTACCAGTGACCTGTACATTTTCAAAATTTCCAGAGTTGACTCTGAAAACACCATTAAACAGGTGACTGATCGAAATTGGGGAAATGACAACCAAAATTTTCTTGGTCTATGAATTGGTACAGTCCTGTGGACACACATTTCGTCTTGAAATACAGACTTCAAAATAAACCTTTTTAACAAATAAATATCTGACCTTCCATGTCACATGATTTGCACCCCATGTTACAAGCTTACAAACAGTTATTGTGGCACAGGTTTTACAAAAATAGATAATGATTCTTTTTAGATGAGCCATTACCCCCACACTTGTGTGTTTACTTGTATGACAGCAGAGGCCATGGTCAATGTAGACTTGTGATCAATATCTTCTTCTTTTTGGCTGTACTGTAAAATGGAAACCTTAATTTTCTTTGATGGCTCTGATCAAAATAGCCAGAGTGCGCCAGCTCTCTGCACTTATAGGTGTATAGTGTAGCAGACAGCACTTGTTTTTCCTTTGCCCACTGCTTCATTTGCATTTTAACAAGGACAATAAATCATCTGGCATGTATTCTGTGCTGGAGGTTTTTCCCCTTTCATTGAGTGCTCTCACTAAGAGAGAGAGCACAAATCTATGTGACATGCTGAACTACACAAACATTTCTCTTTAAAGGCTTGACAGGTACAGTACTGAGCCAGGTCCACAGAAGACTACAGATAACAGACTGCACGAGATAAGTCTCAATTTCAGTGAAAACCACACACTCCTAAGAAATCAATAACCGTTCACTGCCCAGCATAGATAATCTGCCACATTTGTGTAATAGTACATTGACAGAAAGCCTTTATATTGTCAGTTAATTTACATATGACAGAATTAGAATATATAGTACATTCAAACAGTAGCTAGCAATTGGAATATATAATTTTAGAAACTGAATGTGTGCAGACTTTAACCTCAAACTCTGTCTGACCCATGGGTGGCTCTAAAGCATGTCTAAACACACAAATATATTTTTAATCCTCATAAAATCCAGCCGTTTCTAAATATACCAGATGTCAGGCTTGAAGGAATGGTTATTAAAACAATGTCATACATATATATACAGTATTTACATGTGGTAGATTTGTGTGACTATACATAACACAGTCATATCTACTAGTCTGCTTCCTCAGCTGATGCCCACTCTGCTTGTCCAGCCTGGTGCCTCGCCAGTTCCACAGTTGGTCTCAATGGCTGATGTCCAGCTAGCAGTCCAGTTTGTTCCTGTGTCTGCCTTTCTGACTGACATCTGCCTTCCCATTGGTCCCAGCCTCCTTTCCTGTCCCAAGGCCATCCCCCCGAATGGCCTCAGCTCCTGGTTCCAGTGCCACCCCCCCCTCACATCTGTACCTGTATGCTGTCTGCCATTCACTCCTGTTTATCTCTTTTGAGAGGTCAACCTGTGTACTCAGTTGGATGGTCCACCATCTTCTTCACTCACTGTGATCTTCTCTTACCTACAGCTGTTCCTGTGGCTGATTTAAAGGTAGGCTGCAAGGTATGAGTGCCATAAATAGGGAGGTTTAACTCCAGAACAGTCTTAGCACCTCAAGGAATGTTGGTCAATGGGACTAGCTAAAGGCCGACATGGTTTTGCCTATTTCGGTTGATACACTGACAAGAGCAGGACCAGTAGTGGCATTGTGCTCAGTCACTCAGTGACAACAACATTGGTGGGATCATCCTTGATCCACCCAGAAACAGGGGCAGAGGTAGTGTTATCCGTAACTCACCATGACAGGTGGCATTGGTGTCCTTACTGACCCACTGGAAGTAAGGTGGGGGTGTTGTTTTTGACCCATCTGGGGACAGGAACTGGCCTTGCATCCGAAGCTTCAGCCAACCCACTGTCAGACACAAGTGCAAATATGGCATTAGTGGTCTTGTCCTACTACTGAACAGGAAAGGGAACAGATGCAGGGTCTGCTTCTCCAGCTGATCCACTGGTGTGAACAGGAACTGAGGTGGCACCGATGTCCTTTACTTGTTTGGGAACAGGAACAGTGCGAGCGTCGATCCATTTGGGAACACAAACAAAAATTGATGGGGCAGTGGTGTCTTCATCTGACCCATGGACTGGAACAGTATCAGGCATTGCATAGGTGTCTTGAGCTGACCCACAGCCTAGAACAGGGACTGGCATAGCATCAGCCTTTTTGTCCAACCCACGGGCAGGAAAAGGATCAGGACTGGTGTTGGAAAGGACAGCCAACAAAAACTGAACATGACAGGATCAGACTGGACTTTAATCAGTATACTGGACAACAGAGGTTCTGGGTGACTGGCAGACAGAGTCTCTGAGTTACTGACTGGCTGTAACCCTGCTAAATTCAAGTGAGAACACAGGCTCCAGATGGCCAGGCGAGGACATGGGCTCTGGATTATTGGATGACAGAGACTCTGGCTCTGGTGTAGGCACAAACCTGGTGCAAGCTAAATCTCCGGCTCAGGCTCAGAAGCTGGTTCAGGCATGGTCACTGATTCTGACATACTGGCGTGGGTCTAAGTTGTGTAGTCAGTCCATTTCTGGCCAGGTAGTACTATATTTGTTTTTAGAGCTGGACCCAAATGCATAACACAAGCAGACATTACGATAATTAAAAGGTTTATTGTGAGGATTGATAACGGGTCAATGCCACTCTAGGGACAGAGTGGTGGACCAGAAGACAGCATGTAAGAAAAGTCACAGCCAGCAGCATAATGGTAATATCTCTGATAATCCTAAGAGATATGAATGGCAGGTGAGTATGTAGATGACACAGAGATGAGCAAATATTTGCATAAGGTCCTTCTTGTACTCACAAATAAGAGGTTTTCTTACAGAGGAATAGTGGAAACCTGGGAGCGAGGACAGTGGGACAGCACCAGGCAGGAGAAGAAGGTGGCAATGAGTGAAGTAGATGGTGGACCATCCAATTGGGTACACAGGTAGGTATATACTGGTTGACTTCTCAGAAGAATAGCAGCAAACAGGATGGCAGCGAGTGGAGAAGTTGGTGGACCAGGAAAGTGACCAGGTGAGTATTCTGTGGCTTCTTTGCAGGAGGATGAGGACCATACAAATGAGCAATCAAGTGAATGTTTAGCATATTCTTTGCAGATGATAACAGACCAGGCAGGTAAGTGAACAGGTGAGTGATCTGAGTCTCTTCTTGCAGGCCAAGGTGGACCAGGCAGCAGAACAACCTACCTATCCATCCCCATGCCCCTGTAGCTGCACTGAATGAATTGCCACTTGTGCTGCTCATAAAAATATATAAATGAAAAAAAGCTACCTCTTACAGTGCACTATACAGTGCACACACATTTTATTTATTTATTAACTATTTTCTGTTAAGCACTTGATCACATGTATGCCACTAACATTGTAATAGGGCTAGGATACTTTG